CAGCTCTCTACAGGTTATACCCTCTGCCCACTTTCCCTTACCTCTCCTGTCTTACCTGCAGCTCACTGTAGAGTGCCCAGGCTATGTCTGCCTGTCCCCATTCCCATTTTCTTATCTCTACTCCATTGGCCCAGTTCTCTCCAGAATTTTTTTTCTTTTTTTAATTTATTTATTAAAGATTTCTGTCTCTTCCCCGCCACAGCCTCCCATTTCCCTCCCCTTCCCCCAATCAAGTCCCCCTCCCTCGTCAGCCCAAAGAGCAATCAGGGTTCCCTGCCCTGTGGGAAGTCCAAGGACCACCCACCTCCATCCAGGTCTAGTAAGGTGAGCATCCAAACTGCCTAGGCTCCCACAAAGCCAGTACGTGCAGTAGGATCAAAAACCCATTGCCATTGTTCTTGAGTTCTCAGTAGTCCTCATTGTCCGCTATGTTCAGCGAGTCCGGTTTTATCCCAGGCTTATTCAGACCCAGTCCAGCTGGCCTTGGTGAGTTCCCGATAGAACATCCCCATTGTCTCAGTGTGGGGGTGCACCCCTCGCAATCCTGAGTTCCTTGCTCATGCTCTCTCTCCTTCTGCTCCTGATTTGGACCGTGAGATTTCTGTCCAGTGCTCCAATGTGGGTCTCTGTCTCTGTCCCTTTCATCGCCTGATGAAGGTTAATATTCAGAAGGATGCCTATATGTTTTTCTTTGGGTTCTCCTATTTAGCTTCTCTAGGATCACTAATTATAGGCTCAATGTCCTTTGTTTATGGCTAGAAACCAAATATGAGTGAGTACATCCCATGTTCCTCTTTTTGGGTCTGGCTTACCTCACTCAGGATAGTGTTTTCTATTTCCATCCATTTGCATGCAAAATTCAAGAAGTCCTTGTTTTTTACTGCTGAGTAGTACTCTAATATGTATATATTCCATACTTTCTTCATCCATTCTTCCATTGAAGGGCATCTAGGTTGTTTCCAGGTTCTGGCTATTACAAACAATGCTGCTATGAACATAGTAGAGCATATACTTTTGTTGTATGATAAGGCCTCTCTTGGGTATATTCCCAAGAGTGGTATTGCTTCTCCAGAATTTCTTGCACTTAGCCCTTGCCTCCCAAACAGCACCTGACCACTCTTTCCACAGCCTCTCACCAGGGCCTTTCTTCCCATCCGCTGAAGGGAGTGTCCTGCCAGCTTTCAAACAGAGCCAAAGCAGGTAGGACTGACGCTCCTAGGTAGTGAAGACATTCTCAGGGCTCAGTATTGTTATGTGGTTGTCCTGTAGGGGAGGGGCCACGGAGGTGAAATGGGAGTCAGAGTGCTGGGGTGGAGTGCGGGGCTTTACATGAGTGTCATGGAATTTATCAAGTTTTAGTGGAGAATTTAAAATCCAAGCCAGTCGAACTATACTGAGAAGAAAACTGCAAAATGACAGTCCATATTGTCGCTGTTACGGACACAGGACTGAAAGGAGTGGCCTCTGAGCCCTTAGTTTTGAGAGGTGGCATTAGTGGGCTGTGTGGGTTGATGGGAGTGACGCACTGAGAAGCAGTCAATGTGGTGTAGAGAGGGAGACTCTAGAATCACAACTTTACACAGGTGACAGGATCCAGACCACAAATGGTGACTAGCTTCTGACTGGCCTATAAACATTTTACTGTAAGAGAAAGGAGGGCAAAGCCTGAGGGGACAGAGGCAGGTTAAGTGGTGGGGTTTGTGGTCAATCCGGTGGCCGGATTGCTCATGATGTTTTTACAGTGTGGGCTGTAGAAGGAATGGAAGCTCTCCTGTTAATTGAGACACTGGCCAGGATAGTCTTGTTTCCTGTTCCCTTTTCCCATAGAGTTTTGCTCTCTCTGAGAAAATACAATAGAATATTTAATTCTTTTTTTGCTCCTTGATGCATGAAAGAACACTTAAGTATATGGTCACAAACAATTAAACACAACTGTTTTTGAGTCCTCAAAACAGTTATAATTTTATAAACCAAGCGGATTACAAATTTAAGGAGGAAAGATTTAACTATAGCAAAACCATATCTCATTGGTTCAACAAGTATTTATGAGCTGGGAATGACGGTACACACCTATAGTACTAGCACCTGGGAAGTTGAGGCAGTAGGGTTCAAAGCTTAAGGCCAACCTGGGCTACACAAGAAGGTCCTGTCTCAAAAGACTGTTTTCTAACACCTGTGGTAGGGTATATTAACAGATAGGAGACCCAAGAGCTATGGACTGTATAAGAAGATTACAGATGCTATGAAGTGAATGGGGGGATCTGAGATTGAGAAGCAGGAAGTCATGGCTGCTGGGAAGTCAAACCTGGGTCATCTGGAAGAACAGTGCTCTTAACCAATGAGATATCTCTCCAGTCCAAGGGCTGTCTGTAATTTTAATGCAGGGCAGGGTACATGGAGGAAGTAACAGATGAGTGACATTCTGAAGGCCATGCAGTCACCTAGAGAATGCAGAGAACAAACCCAGGGCTCGTGCAATTTGAACAGTGCTGAGGCAAACTCAAGTATCAAGGGAAATGATTTTCTGCTCCCACATATTATAAAGGAATCAAATGACCAAAGCAGAGAATCGCCTGTCTGAACTGTCCCAGTGTGATTATCCCGGGTGTCCCATCTTCCCTGACAACAAAACCTTCCAAAAAGTAGGCCAGAGGCTGGGAGAAGATAGGGGGCATGAGAGGGGATATTATGGGAGGCTTAAATTAGTAGATGGGACTTTAATAAATACCCATGGCCAATTTAGGGGAACTTTCCTAGTGGGCACTGAGGGAAAGCTGACTTGTCTCAAGGCTCCCTCAAACACTGGCTTCTGCTTTTTACATAACTAAATGGCTGAATGTGCTGGTTTCTCCCTCCTCCCATTTTCATGTTTTTATATTCCCTAGTTCATTACATACCAGTCACCTCTGAGCACACACATCACTGGTTTCTGCCGCACCTTTCACAGCTAATCACCCAAAAGTGCTCCACGAAGTCACCAGTGCGGCCACTGCTGCAACAGCTACTGCAGAGTACCATGCAACAGCGACCACGGCTGCTCCCCAGGAGCACCCTCCCACTTCACTGATACTTCTGTGCAGAGCCACAGGGTGGCTGGCACTGCCTTGATGGCAGAGACTACACTGAATTCTCCACTGGAAGGAATAGTCCTGCACCTCCACTTCAACACCTGTTTTGAAGACTGCAGAAAGGGATACTGTCTCAAAAACTAACAACAAAAACAAATTTAAGGGAATCCTTTTGTGTCCTGAGTTAACTGTTCAGACCCGCCCTGACTTGCTGATGTGGAGAAGGTTGTCTCAGTAATGTTCTATTGCTGTGATGAGATCCTATGACCAAGGCAACTCATAAAAGGAAACATTTAATTAGGGGCTGGCTTACAGTTTCGGAAGCTTGGTCTATTATCATGGCAGGAACCATGGCTGTACACAGGCAGAATGGTGCTGGGGAAGTAGCTGAGAGTTCTCCATCCTGATCGCCAGGTAGCAGGGAGAGAGAGAACTGGGCCTGCCATGCAAGGCCCGATCTCCTTAACCTTCCTCCAATAAGGCCATTCTTAGATGACTAAGTATTTAAATATGAGCCTGTGGAGGCCATTCTTATTCAGACCACCACAGTTTTTATTTTTTGTTTGTTCGTTTTGTGGTGGTTTGGACAAATATGTCCTTCTAATTTTACCTTCTATTTCAGGGACTGTAACTGAGGTGAAGCTATAGATGCCCTGTTACTGCACAGAGGATCTGTCTTGACTCTCCCCTTCTCAGGTCTGACTCCAGGTGGTGAGCACTTGTGGCCCTTTAAAGGCCCTAGAGTTTGCAGACGTGTCTCCCACCTCTTCTCAGCACACATTTCAGCCGACCTGAACTCACTGGGGTTAAGCTCAGACATAAGCTGTGACTTTCCTAGGTGCGTTTATTCCCTATGTGGCTCAGAGGCTCCAAACATCCTGGTGGCCTCTTAGCCCCTGTGGTGATTTGAATGAGAAGAGCCCCCATAGGTTCATATGCTTGAATGTGTTGTTCCAGTTGGTGGAACTGTTTGCTAAGGAACAGGTGTGGCCTTGCTAAAGGAGATATATCATTGGGGTTGGGCTTTGAGCTTTCAAAAGCCTACACCATTAGAGTTAACTCTCTACCTGGTCTTTTTTAGCACTGCACTGTAAGCTCTTAGGTAATGCACTAGCAACATGCCTGCCTCATTCTCCCTGATGTCATGAACACACGCTCTGAGATTGTAAACAAGCCTACAAACTAAATGCTTTCTTTTATACATGGCTTTGATCATGGAGTCTCTTGATAGTCACTGAAAAATAACTCAGTAAGGCCCTGATAAAGGATTGTGTCTGGAGGGTCGCCTGAGTTTGTTTCACACTTGCCAGCTGAAGTTGCCAGAAATATGCCACGTGAGATCTTGTGGAGTGGAAACAGCAGAAATGCTAGGTGATTTCTAAGTCTGGATCCATTACATTAAGAGGAAAAAAAAAATCCTAGAATCGAGCCTGGGAGGTGGTTGTGATGCAAGCCAGAGTTCAAGTCCAAAACCCACGTAAAGGTGGAAGGAGTGAATCAATTCCCAGATGTCCTCTGTCTGGCCTCCACATCTGTGCACGGGTAATTACACACACGCACACGCACACACCACGTGCGCGCACTCACCCAAAGTGTAAAAGAATACAACTCCAGAGCGTGAGGCGTCACTCCTCGTTTTGTTTTTTTTTTTTGTTTGTTTGTTTGTTTTGTCGCTACCCACAGCCCTTCCTTTCTGTCAAAAGCTACACAAGCAGGAAGTTTACGTCCCTCACGTCACCGCTACTCACCGAGGGTCTGTCCCTCAAAGCAACCACTGCACGAGAAACGTAACTGGAAGAGGTAGGCCCGCAAGGCTATCGCGGGAACCCCGAGGCCCCACCACAGGCCACGTGACCTCGCCGACCGCAGGACCCGCCCCTGGCCACTTAGAGGCCACGTCGCTGGTGGCGGGGCGGGACCACGGCCGGCGCGCGTGCGTGCCCCGCCCCTCCGGCGGAGCCCGGATGAAGTGCAACGCCATTACCGCCAGAGCCGCCGAGAGCCCTAGCGGACGTGCAGTGGACGCTGACCGGCGGCACCATGAGACTCCTCCCCCGCCTGCTGCTGCTGTTCCTGCTGGCCTTCCCCGCCGCCGTGCTGCTCCGCGGAGGCCCCGGAGGTGAGGGATGCGGGGGGTGGGCCCGGCACCGCGGCCGCCCGGCACCGCTTCCCCCGCCGGACTCCCGGGGAGGGGGGCCGTGCTGCCCCCCAGGACCCGCCGCGGCTCAGCGCCCTCTGCGAGCGCGGGCCCGTAGCCCTCGGTCCGCGGGACCCACGCCGGGGCCGATCTGATCTCTCTGCCCGCGCGGACCCTGGACCCCCAAGCCCCGGCCGCTGCGCTGACGTGTCGCTAGCCCCACGCGGGCGCGCCTCCATTCATTCGCCCAGAGCGGATTCTCTACTTCGGCGCGATGAATCGCCGTCTCTCGGTCTCCTCGATCGACCATCGCGGTCGGTGTGGACCTCGAGACGCGGTGTCCAAAAAACGCCCCCTCCTCCTGCTGCTAGTCAGCCGGTACCGAAGAGTCCCCGCGGGATGGCTTTCTTCTGCTTTTCTAATTTCTCCCCACCACTCCCCTCTCCCTTTCCTAGCCAGTTTCTGCTGGATGGAAATGTGCTGGGAAGAAGTTACTTGGAGCTTTTTAAGTTTATTCATTCCAGTGTTTAACCTTAAGTAAAAACTTGGCAGAATGTAAAAACGTAGAAACCTTTTCCTCTTGCCCTTCATGAGCTTTGATTTTCTAATTTATAAAATGAGTTAGTTTGAGTGATCGCCAGAATTCCTTTCATTTTTCTAAGTTTGAGCGGCTCAGGGCATAAAAAGTTATGATCCGCGTTCAGGAGCTGTTTAGCCAAGCAATCAGGAAAGTGATTGGCTTCTATTTAGTAGCTAATAGGACTTTGAGTTACCGTTAGGGATTTTGGTTGGGGGCGCGGTGGGGTCACGGGACAGATGTTGAGACAGTCTCACGGAGGTAGCCCTGGCTGGCTTCAAAGTCTCTGTAGCCTAACACGACCTTGAACTTCTGATCCTTGTGCCTGTACCTCTGGAGTACTGGGTTTCAGGTGTCTGTCACCACACCCCATGAGTGAGGTGGTGGAGAGGAACCCAGGGCTTCCAGCATGCCAGGAATGCAAGACTTGCAAGCTAACAACTGAGCTACAACCGTAGCCCCCTGGATTTTCTTTCTTTTTTGAAACTGGCTTTGGAAAATGAAGTATAAACTATGAATGAATCGTTTTAACCCAGGAAAGTGAAAAGATTTAAAAATGCATGGTCCTGAGAACGGATTGTTGCTCTTGGATACTGCACGTGTGGCTCTTCCCACTGAATTGCCACATCATCAGTTTCTGAGAAGTGGTGGGAAGAACTGCTAGCTAGAACTTTGAAGGGCTTCTGAGGATTTTGCCTGAAATTGATGTAGTGTGACTTGTTGAGAAAGTTTTGCCTATAAAGCTATGATTTATAGTTTAGTGTTATGATTATAATTTATTTTTTGGTATTTTAAATCTATCTGAAAATATGCTTAAAGTCATGTGCAAAATAATTAGATTTTTTTCTTTGCTACTAACCATGAAGATACCACTATTATTTTAAATTTTTTATTACATTGTGTGTGTGTCTGTCTGTCTGCCTGCCTGCCTGTCTCTATCTGTACTTGTGTCTTGCAGTGTATATGCAGAGACTAGGGGACACTTTTCAGGGTGAATCCTAAAGATCAAATTCACATGGTTAGGTTTGGCAGCAAGTGCCATTAACCCACTGAGTTTGTGCCTTTTGATATTAGAAACATTCCCATTAAAATTGACGTACAGAAGTTAAGACTACTAGTAAGATATTATAAATATTTTTGTGCAGGAGTATTGTTCAGCTGACCAGGAAGACTGAATTACTACAGGCAGAACTTCTTCTTTTTCTTTATTATTTATTTGAGGCAGGGTTTCTCTGTGTAGCTTTTGGCTATCCTGAAATTCACTCTGTAGAAGAGGTTGACATCAGACTTACAGAGATCTGCCTGCCTCTGCTTCCCAAGTGCTCGGATTAAAATTGTGTGCCACTACCGCCTGGCTAGAACATTTTCTTGTTTAGACCTGATGTTTAAAAACACTGATAAAATTTATGTGCTCATTTTTTATTTTAATTTCAGGGTCATTAGCAGTGGCTCAAGATCTTACAGATGATGAAGAAACAGTGGAAGATTCGATAATTGAAGATGAAGACGATGAAGCTGAAGTAGAAGAAGACGAACCCACAGATTTGGTTAGTGCTACATACTATATCTAGAATATATATGACACATGAAGATTCCCCCCCCCACCCCCCCCCCACCCCCGGCATTTTGAAGTAGTCTCAATGTAATGCATCTGGTCCTGAGCTCAAGGTACTGAGGGTACTGAGGGATTGCCTTGAACTTCTGGTCCTTCTGCCTCTTCTTCCAAATACAGGACATGATGGGTTAGAGACATGTACTACAATGCCATGTTTTATGTGGTATCAGGGATTGAACCCAGAGCTTCAGACATAGGGAACAAGTATACTATCAACTGAGCTAGATACTCAGCCCAAGAATATATTCTATATATAGGCAAATTTGGTAATTATTTTTAAGTTATGTATGAATGTGTGGATACTTGCATGTGATTGCAAATGCTTGAGGAAGGCAGGGGCTTTAGATCTGTAACTGGAGTTACAGACAGTTGAAGGTTTTAGACATGGGTCCTCTGCAAAAGTCATATGTGCTCTTAGCCTCTGAGCCATCTCCCCTGGGTTGAAGTGGCCTAAGGGCAAATCATTGAGAATGAACTCGAGGATTTCTGGAGTAGGGGAAGAGAAAAGGTGCACTGAACATGTCAGGATTGTCCCTATGTGAAGGCTGGAGAAGAACAGCATAATTGGGCCAGCAGCAGACCCTGACCGTTAAATTTGGAGTCTAGGTCTTAGCTTTCTAGCTCTGTTTTTTGTGTGTGTGTGCTTGCTTCTTTTCATTCAGTAACCTGCCATGAGTCATGTAGGGGCATCTCTACTATGTAACAAGGCTCTGTTCTGGGTACTAGATTGAACAAGTGAGGTATTTCCTCTCCTTTCTTAGAGTTCATGTTTTTGTGGGTCATATGAGTGTGTTTTGGGAGCAGGGGATGAAGAACAGGTGATAAAATATGCTTTATGAATAGTAACAGTTAGAGATGATCTCTTTGAAGTTTGCTCTGAAATTTATACTCTGTAATAATGACAATAAGAATATCTGGCTCAGAGCTGGAGAGATGGCTCTGCAGTTACGAACACTGGCTACTCTCCCAGAAGACCTGAGTTCTTTTCCCTGCACCAACATAACTCACAAACATCTGCAATCAGTTCCAAGGGATCCGGTGCCCACTTTTGACCTCTTCAACTGATTTCAATAGAGGAGCAACTTTGAATAGCTCACCCATGCTACCTGCTCTCTCCTCTCTCTGCTTATGGAGGTGGTCTGGATACACAGACTAGTCTGCTGTTGCACCAGTGGGCTTTATATTCCTTTGTGACATGGGGTAAATCGTAAGGTTATCCGTCTTACTTTGATATGCTTTCTATGTTGTCAGCTGTTCTCGCAAACATTGCTTGCTTTAACTCCGCTCTGGCAGGAATGTTGGCTTTGGTGTCAGAAAATGAAGACCTTCAATAGTGAACTATTCAAGATGAACTTCTGTGCATTTCCCTAACAATGAGCTGTGTTCATGACTCTAAGGATCTCAGCCTGTGGATTGTACAGTATTCTTTGGTCCTTCTCGTTGGCATTTGGCCCTGGAGCTGCGCACGTGCAGATGTTGTCTTCCCTCCTTCAGTTGCTACTCCCTTTTTTACCTTTGCTGGTACTTTTTCTTCTTACTTTAGCTTCATATTCATTACCCATCAGGAGCCATCCTATATGTGTAGTGAAAGTTGCTATGGTCACCAGCAACCTAATTGCCAAATTCCTGGCCCATTTTCCTGGTTGTGTATTTCAGGCTTTTTTAACATTTGCTATTTGCACTTTGAATCCCACTGTGTTGACACCCCTTCTCTTTCCCGCCGATTTGCTGTTTTCTCTGCTACCTTCTTCTGCTTACTCCCTAATGTTGATAAAACCTGATTCTAACCACCACAGCCTTCCGTTGATGGCTTTCAGGTCTCCTAGCCCCTTGCCTTGAGCTCCGCAAATATCTCCACCACTTTGCAGGATAGTACCATTTTCATATGCCCGTGATGGAGTCTGGCACTTACCAGTTTGTCCTCTCTGCTTTTATGTAGCTCCAGGGAATTGAACTAGTATCTTTTTTGTTGTTGTTGTTGTTCTATTCTTGTAGGAGGCCACTTGTTTGTTCCCAGCTGTTCAGACCTGAAATAACCACACTGAAACTATATTATTTCAATACTATTTGGCAAATAGCTTAAGCATGTTTCTGGCTAACTCATATCTTAAATTAACCCATTTCTATTAGTCTGCGTATAGCCACATGGCTGTGGTTTACCTGGTAAAGTTCCGGCATCTGCTGGCAGCAGCTGCATGGCATCTCCTGACTCTGCCTTCTTTCTCCCAGCATTTAGTATAGTTTTTCCTGCCTAGTTCTACTCTGCCCTATCAACAGGCCAAGGCAGTTTCTTTATTCATTAACCAATAAAAGCAACACATATACAGAATGGTGTCCCACACTATTTCCCTTTTCTGTTTAAATAAAAAGGAAGGTTTTAACTTTAACATAGTAAAATTACATATAGCGAAACAGGTATCAAGCAAGAATTACATTTATAATATTTATATTTTTTATCATAACTATTCTTCATTCCATCAAAGACTTCAGAAGGATATAGTACCTAAATGAACAGGAAGTGCATTGTAAGCAACTTCTAAAACTCTAGAATTGACAGAGACATCCTGCTACCTGGACAGTTACCCAAAATTCTTCTGTAATATTGGAGCATTCACCTTCAACCTACAGGCCCATAGTATCTGGCAGACTCTTCCATGAAGTAGGAAATTTCAAAGATAGTTCCACTTGTATTGGCAGTCACTTTCTTCTGTGTACTGCAGAATGTCTGGCAGTCTCTTTCATGAAGCAAGGAACCCCAAAGGACCATCTCATCTTTAGGCAAGTTCAGCAGTCATTTTTCTGTGGGTTCTGCATGTCAGTTTACATAGCATGACATCAAGCAGTCCAGGCAAGAGCAGTTTCTTGCCCAAATGGCTAGCAAACTCCATGAGAAGCCTCTGAAGTAGATTGGTGCTGCCAGGAGCAGATATGTCTCATTGTCATGAAAAGTCTAGTCTAAGTTCTTAAAACATTTTAAATGCCATATTCTGAAAGTCTCTGAAAGATTTGAAGAATACCTAACTAACTGAAATATACCTCTATATATCTAGAAAACCTAACATGAGTACAAGCTTGACTATTATAGATGATTATCTATTAACCTATATTTCTTAATTATACATTACATTTTTAAATGAGCTGCACAAATACAATACCTTAATCAAGAACAGAACTATACATACAACAAAACTGACTTTAAATTTGTATCGATAAACCAAGATTGATACCAGTGCAAATCTCTATAGCACATCCCCCTTTAAATCTAAATAAACATTTATAAATAATATTTGGGAATATGGGCATAGTTCTCTCCAAACTGCTTCCTGCTTTTTGTTGGGCAAAGTATTTTGGGGGCTGTTCACAGCGGCCTTTCAGGGGTTCTTTGTTCATCAAATGACTCTAGTCTGGAAGCAATCCACAGGTTTGCTCTGTGGAAACAAAAGAACCTCTTTTCCAAAGCAACAAATTCTTAGACCCAAATTTTAAAGTCCAGGTACCTTTATGTTGGTTTATCTTAGCAGCCCCCAGAATCAAATATCTCTCTGCAGTCAAAAAATTCAAAGAAAACACAGTAACTTTCTATACTCTTTCTTCTCTCTCCCAAACCTTCATACATTTATTCATCACTGTGACCATTTAGAGGTCTTTTCCGTCTGGATTTGTCTTTATTGTGTATCTGTAATCTTTTTCTGACCAGAACCACTTTTTTTTCCTCAACATATTCTGAAGTTCATTAAATTGAATCTTAGTTGTAATTTCTCTCTTTCTCCTTTTTCTCAAGTATACTTTGCTACTTTATTCTTACAGAATTTGTTAGCCTTTCTGTTTCAGGTATATCCACCTACCTGCATATTGTATTTTGGAGAAACTATATTGCTCAAACTGGCTTCAAACTCCTATGCTCAATCAAGCAATCCTGCCTCAGCCTTCAAAAGTCATATCCTGCCTAGTTGTATTCTTTGGATCTGGGGATGTGTGTGTGTGTGTGTGTGTGTGTGTCTGTATCCATCATTACCATACCATTTCAGTGATAAGTGACTGATTGTAATAAGGAAATCTTATTTTATTTTTTATTTTTTCTGAGACAAGGTTTCTCTGTAGCTTTGGTGCTTGTCCAGGAACTAGCTCTTGTAGACCAGGCTAGCCTCGAACTCACAGAGATCCGCCTGCCTCTGCCTCCCAAGTGCTGGGATTAAAGGCATGCACCATCACCACCTGGCTATGAGGAAATTGTAATTGGTATGGAAATCTTTCTGGGCTGAAATAATAAGGTGCTTGAGAATGGGGCTGGGCAAAATGTGGTTACTAGCCAAATCCAGCTCTGCTCATCCATTTATTGTCCGGCTGCTTTTATACAGCATCAGAAGTAAGTAGTAAAAGGAGAGGGACCTTATGATGGTCCTTCTTTGGAAGGAAGCTAGCTTGCCAGTCTGTTTAGGGACCTTGCAGTTCAAGTGTGGTTGAACTCTTATCCATGCTGGCATTTCCTGAATGTGTGGAAAAATTGGAACAGAATTTCAGTCTTTACTTGAGGTAGAGTTACCAGATTCCCAGTGACTTAGTGTCCACATTTCCATGAGGAGTTCTGTTTAATTGACGAGGTAGAGCAGAGTTACACCATTGTGCTTACCTGTGGGAGAGATGCTCTGACCCAGGAAGTGGCTTTCCCAGAGAGAGGCTCTTCCTTTGCACTGGGCTGTGCTGACTAGTGATTTCCCAGGGCAGGAACCTCCTCTGTATAAACTGTGATAGTGGGGAACTGTGTTTGTCTTTCCTCCTAAAAAGTGAGAAATGCACACCACCAGCACCAGTGATCAGTGCTTTAGCCCAGTCTAGTGAAGTCTGCGCTGCAGTGAATGTTTTCACCCTTTCACAGCACTCTGTTGTTGATGTTGTTGCCTTTAGGCAGAAGATAAAGAAGAAGAAGATGTGTCTGGTGAACCAGAAGCTTCACCGAGTGCAGACACAACTATCTTATTTGTAAAAGGAGAAGGTAATGGAGAATCGTCTGTTTAATTTCAATCTTTTGTGTGGTAATGCTGGTATTTAAAGGGGAAAATAAATGTTATTTGGTTTGCTAGAAATTAAACATTCTTCTCAAAAAAAATTTTTTAAAAAATGTGTGTATCTGGGTGCACATGTACCTCTGGGAGCATGCGGGGGCTCCAGGATAACTTGCAGGAGGACTATCTTGTCACGGTTCTGAGGATTGAGCCCTGGTTATCAGGCAGCCATCTTGCCATCCCCAAAGGTCCCATTCTTGAAACTTTCCAAGCTGTGTCAGGAATACCGTTTTGTTTTGATGACTTGAGTTTAAACTCATGTTAAAGATTAGCCAGCGGTCACACGAAAATGCCAGTTAGGGACTTCACTGAAGATATGAGGTAGCGTGCAGTAGGCAGCACTGCAGAGACAGGAGGGCCCTTTTCTGAGCAAGTGAAGGGGAGAACTGACTCCCCAGAAGTAATTCTCTGCTCTGTTTGCATCCACACTCACACACATACTCACTTTCAAAAGGAGTTTATTTTGTTGGTATTGAACTCAAGGTCCTCCTGCCTCAGCCTTCCAGGTGTTGGGATTATAGGCACATGTTATCAGGCCTGTCTGGAATTTGATGGTAGTTTCAAATGTTTAAATATCAATGAAATACTAAATGTCTACAGTTAGGCCTTGGTTACAGAATAGCATTAACTTAAAAAAGAAAATTAATGTCGCATATTTCTTGCTCTAAATGTATGGGACCAGAAGTGGTTTTGAGTATTTTATTTAAGTTGTAGAATATTTTTATGTGCATAATGAGCTGCCTGTAGGCGGAGTTTGTTTCACGTACACCTCACAACTTGAGACTTGGATTCTCCACTTGTAGCATCTTGTTGGCAGCTCATAAAGGTTTAGATTTTGGAGCATTTCCAGTCTTCCTGTTAGGGCTACTGAAATTTCCTGAGTACATTTATTTATTGAGGACTCTGTGAGGAGCATTGGTCTTTAACTTTGCAGTGCTCATTTAATCCAGCAAACCCTGAGGATATAGTTATTGTTGGTCTTGGGCTTACAGGGGTTAAGAAACTTGTTCTACAGTTACTCAGAGACAAGATTCAAACCCAGGTCTGTCTGTTCTATAACTTGTTATACTGGATGGAATTCAACCCATTAGCCTGTCATACAGTGTTATGGAAGAATTAACAACAAAAACCACTAATTTTCTTGGACTTAAGTGTTCTGTTTTCTATGTATTCCAACTTAATACCTACAAAAAGTGATTTGCTTGCTGGGGATGGACTCAGTAGTTCTTTACATACCTAGAATGTGCAAAGCCGCTGTTCCGTTCTCCCCACCTAAGAGAGGGAATTTGAGTATGTGATGATACCTTCCCCCATTTATTTTTGTAGTAACATACTGAGTTATATAAACCTCTTGCATGATAATCTTGCTGCCATGATTTTCTTAGCCTCTTAATCTGAATGTGATTTGGCTGGAATTGCAATACCCAGTTTATCTCCTAAATTGGAACCCAAAGAGCAGCCAAAAGATTTTTAGTTTGTACTACAGCTCTGATTATTCAGAGCTAGTGTGCAGTCACGCTAGAATGCTCTGGTGGAGAGAATTTTGAAACCAAGTCCATGTCTGTGTTTCATTTTGAACTCTGAATGTGTTCTGATCCCACCCCCAACCTCTCCTATTTTGTGTCTTAGATTTTCCAGCAAACAACATCGTGAAGTTCCTGGTAGGCTTTACGAACAAGGGGACAGAAGATTTTATTGTTGAATCTCTAGATGCCTCATTTCGTTATCCTCAGGACTACCAGTTTTACATCCAGAATTTCACAGCTCTTCCTCTGAACACTATAGTACCACCCCAGAGACAGGCGACTTTTGAGTATTCCTTCATTCCTGCAGAACCCATGGGGGGACGGCCTTTTGGTCTGGTCATCAATCTGAACTACAAAGATTTGAATGTAAGAACTTTTGAGTTGTGTTTTGCCTTTGTTAGGAACCACATGGGAGAGTGGCCATTGTTGAATAGTTTTCTGTCTGTATAAGTGCTTGTTTTGTAGTTCAAACTATAATAGCACCAGGAACACAAATGTCTCTAACTTCACTTATAAGGTATTGAGGGAGATGGCCAGAAAGAAGCAGTAGCATAGTGGTACGTGTACACACCTGGGCTGTGTGTGTGAGAAAGTGACTTGAGCTAGATCTTGACAAGGGACGAAGTGTACAGTAGAGTTTGCCTCTACTTAGACGCTGTTGAATAGTAAGACGTTTGTTCTGTCCCATTTTGTTGTAGACCTTTTCCCTTTTAAATGCTTCTAAAGACTTTTACTGTTTTGCTTTTTTGTATGCTCATAGGTAAAATACAATCCACTTTTAAATACAATTTTTGCAGTAAGGTTTATGTGTTAATTTCACTTATCCCTGAAAGGGACAACTTTTATATTCTCTATTGCGTGAGGCTGAGTTTATTCCACTCCCTTTCCCAAGAGCATCCTTGGAGGAGTGGGTTCTACCTTCCCTCAGCCTGCTAATGGCTTCTTGTGTCTTCAGCCAGGCCCTCCCTTGTGATTAGCACAGAGGAAAAGCTTCTCATTCTGTCTTCAGAGTGACATTAAAATAGCTAAAAAGTTACTTCATTTTGTGTCTATTATTTCATCTTGTTTTCAAGTAGGATTGAGCTCAGTTCAGGTTGATATATACATATGTCCGGTGGTTTTCTGTATTGGATAAATAAAGTTTTGTTAAATTATCGAAGTAGTTTTAAGATGATAATGAAAAAAATACTTTGAAACTGAAAATAAATTACTGGTCTGTTCCTTAGAGTGGAATTGGTTTTCATTCCAGTTTCCATTTAGAGCATGAGCCTGACTTTGTCTGGGTTGCTTCCTAAGTGGTCTGCTCCTGCAGCTGCTGAGGAGCTCTGTGGGCTGTGCTTCTTCCTACCAGGGCTCTGTGATCTTCACAGCTGCCCTGGCTCCTGAAGCCACCACCTCCCTGCTCCCTGCAGAAGGTAGAGGGTGGTCTTGGCAAGTTCCTAGGCATTTTTATTTTAAAGGTGAAATAACATAAGTTTTGTACCTGGCACTGAATCATAAATTACATATGGCCTTATTGTCCTGTATGACAAAGTGATGGAAAGTTAAGTCTGGTAGAATAGCAGTTTTAAGAACACATGTAATTTTTATTCTTTTAACACATCTCATGTGATTTTTTAAACATCTGTTTCTTAAACAGGGCAATGTATTCCAAGATGCTGTCTTCAATCAGACAGTTACAGTTATTGAAAGAGAGGACGGGCTAGATGGAGAAACGTAAGTAAAGCTGTATCTGTAGATCTGAAGCTCCCAGACTGAGCTGGAAGGCAGTGTGCTCAGATCACAGAATGTCTAGAAATGGTCAGAATGTGAAATCCATACATTATGTGCTTCTTGTGCCTATTATATAAGTCAAGGAAAATGGTGGAACCTGAAAAACTGTTTTTCCAGCAGGAGTAGTTGACTTTTTCCTTTCCCAAATTCATTTCTGCTTTAACTGAGCCTTAGCCTATTTAACATGCTTCTCTAACATCTCATTGCACAGGTTAGCCTCTCTAACAGGCCTCTGAGATCACTGCACAGATTAGGGTGTTTTCTTGGAAAATGTTTTTTCTGAGTAAAGAATCATTTGTGAACGTAGATGTGACTCACTTGACAGGATTTATAAGGCCAGTTATGAAATAAGGATGTAAATGTGAGGTGAACAAAACTACTGAAATTGCCGTAAACCATGAGTTTGAAATAAAACACGTTTTAGAGGTAGTTTTTTGACAAAGTGTTCTTAACTATAAATAAAAGGAAATTTGTAAAGCTTGTTGCCTGAAATTAATTAAAATGCTGTATTTTTCCTACAAGTTATTTGGAAAGCTGTTGTAGCATATGTTGTTTTTTGTTTTTAATTAGATACAGTATGTATGAATTAACACCAGCTCTATTTTCTTTCTTTTCTTCCTTTCTTTTTTTTTCTGCCAGAATTTTTATGTATATGTTCCTTGCTGGTCTTGGGCTTCTAGTTGTTGTTGGCCTTCATCAACTCCTGGAATCTAGAAAGGTAATTATGAATGAGCAGCTGGCAAACCACACTGAGTGGTTGCGGTACTAACTGTACTCTAGTTCTTATTGTAGTTTTGTAGGCTTGGAACTTTGTGGTGCCTTTTTTAACACTACCCAGAGATAAGACTTTGAATATGTGACTTGAATTTGTTGAGATGTGTGCACAAATCCAGTTAGTATGCTAGTTACCCACTCTAAAGTGATCTTTGCTGTCTTACGGTAATGTTCCTTGAGTTCAGAATGATTTTTCTAATACTTAATACATATTCCTCATGGATATATTGAATTATCTGTAATCAAACAATTTATATGGGTTAGAATACTTAGTGAGAGGGGATACTTTTTTGTGTATTCAGAATTTATAGACTGTATAAATCTGTTTAAATAGATTATCAGAGTTTCTACCTGCTAGGCAAGCATTTTATACTGAGCTATAGCTATAGCCCTTGGGTTTTGAGACAGCGTTTTTCTGTGTAGTTCTGGCTGGCCTTAAAGTCCAGTGTAGCTCAGTCTGGCTTAGCATGGTTCTCCTGTGTCCTCCCAGGTGCTGGAATTACAAACTTTCTCCACAGAATTTTGAGATAGTCTTTTACTATGTAGATCTGGCTGGCTTGGAACTCATAAATATTCACCTGCCTCAGCCTTCTGAGTGCTGAGCTTAAAGGTGTGTACACCATGCCCAGCTTCCTGCACAGATTTCTGATTTTTAAACTTCAGAGCAAGACTAAAGAAAATGGAATTAAGTGGGCTTCATAGTCCAGTATTGCAGCAGATAGACTATAGAGAAAGTCTCACCCTGTCTTTGTTTTGTTTTTGAAACAGGGTCAGCCTACACTGACCTTGAACTTACTATGCTGCTAAGGCAGGCCTTGAACTCCTGATCCTTCTGCCTCTCCCTGCAGTGTCCTGGAATTATATATACATACCACTATGCCTTAAAACCTTCACATTTTTAATGAATTCATTATTGTCAAGCTATTTGAGATTTTGTGGGGTTTTTTGTGTCTGTACCTACTTTATTTGATTATATTTAGCTACCAATGAAAGAGTCCTGCTTGCAACATTTCAATAATTATCTTGAATTTCACTGACTGGAACTTTATTTTCTATGATTTGATTCCCAAATGGAAAGAAAATTATTGGGTAAATAGTAGTTTTTATTTGATCTATCAGTGGTATAACAACAACTTAGACTCTCAAGATTTATTTTTTTAAACATTTTCCTATTACATATATTTGGTTTTGGATGGGCATATGTACATGTACATTCACATGTGTGTGCTTTGGCACATGTGATGAGGCCAGAGGTCAACTTTGAGAAGTTGATTCTTTTATCATTTGGGACTCTGGGATCAAATACAGGTCATCAGGCTTGGTGACAAGCATTTTACTCACTAAGAAGACATGTTTTTATCCTTCTAGTAGATAAAGTGTGTGTTGGGGTGTTTTAAAACAAGAAAAGAATGTAATTTGTCTGCTAAGATACTCAAATTATATATATTGATCAAAGTTTTTAAAATTAGAATAAACAATGTTATGACATGTATTTAAATAGTCTTTTATGTTCTTGTAGCGCAAGAGACCTATACAGAAAGTAGAAATGGGTACATCGAGTCAAAATGATGTTGACATGAGTTGGATTCCTCAGGAAACTTTGAATCAGATCAGTAAGTATTCTTACAAACTTGGTGAGAATTTTTCTCTAAATGGAAATTAAATAGTTTCTAATAATCAAAAAAAAATCCTTGGTCAGTACTATTTAACATTGATCTCTTCCATTACCTGTGTAGACTCTAGTATAATGATTAAGAAAGCACTTAAAGACTTGTTCTGTTTATAGTGTTTTTATGATTTAATTTACAAGTGCTTTCAAACACGCAGCTTGTTTGTAAATGTCTGAGTTCTCCTCCTAATCTGTTTCCTGTCTTTTTTCCTCCCTGTTGCTTCAGTGCAGAGCAGAAGAGGTGAGGTGACCTGATTTCTTTCGTGGTCTCTGCTGCAGTTTGGGGCTCTTGCTCAGTGCATGTCTACAGCAAGTTTAATAATGTATTTTAGGGTAAAACTGCTGCAACTACTTTTGTTGTTCTTTGGGGTTCTTTGTTTTGTTTTGTTTTGCTTTTCAAGACAGGGTTTCTGTGGATCAGGCTAACCTTGAGCTCTCAGAGATCCACCTGCTTCTGCCTCCTGCCCCCTAAGTACTGGGATTAAAGGCGTGCGCCACCAACAACTGGCTACATGCTAATTTTTAAAGAATGAATCTAAAATATTACTTAATGGATTCTGGTGTTTTTTTTAATAGGAAGTTTGTTAAAAGTACTAATTTTTATGAAGGAATACAGAACAGTTTTTCCCATTTGGTGAGTGGCTCTTGTGGGTCTGAGAAGGTGGCTTCAAGGTTAAGAGCACTAAAGCTCTCCCAGGGGTCCAGGGTCAATTCCCAGCACCCACGTGACATCTCAAAGCTGTCTGCAACTCCAGGTCTAGAGAATCCTCTGACCTCCACAGGCACTGTACACATATGGTGCACGGACATCCATGAAGGCAACACACGCATACACATTTAAAAAAAGAAAAAAGAAAATTGAAAAAAAAAAGGGGGAAAGCATTCAAGTTAGCCTCATTGTAAAAAAAAATAAATTGTACAAAAATATAAAATTCTGTCCTTGACTCCACTAATCCCAGTTTCAATAAATAAATTATACTTAGATATTAAAATGGTTTTCTGTACATATTTATTTCTCTATGAGTTTCTGTCTGCATGGTGATGACAATGCCCATGGTTTCACTTTTCTTGCCTAGGGCTCATGAGGCATTTTCAGCTTCCACTAATCTGATTTCTTGCTAAGTATTTTACATTTTAAGGTGAAGTGGGTCTACTTCCCCTGAGTATTTTTTTTAACCTATAAACTCACAGGTTGACTGATTTTTTTTTTTAAATAGAAAAGAATTAGGGTCTTTTCTAAATAATTTTTTTGGGTATTTATTTATTATACAGTGTTCTGCCTATACATGCCTGCAGGTTAGAAGAGGGGACCAGACCTTATTACAGATAGTTGTGAGTCACCATGGAGTTGTTGGGAATTGAATTCAGGCCCTCAGAAGAGGAGCCAGTGCTCTTAACCTCTGAGCCATCTCTCCAGCCCTGCTAAATAATGTTTTAAATGCATACATTTGTTATGTAAATACCATTTAAAGGGTTGACAGGATAGTTGAATTGGTGAAGTGTGTGTTGGATAAGCATGAAGACCATTACTATGGCCCCAGAACCTGTGAAAAAGCCGAGGGTGGTAGAATGCCTTTGGGAGGCAGAAATAGAAACAGGCAGCTCCCTGGGGTTTCGTGGCTGCCCAGTTACTGATGAGCTCCAATACCAGGGAGAGTCTGAAAACAAGGTGGAAGCTCCTGCAGAACAACACCCCCACACACATACAATCTTCATAAGCGCACACTTGTTAATTTTAGAAAGAAATAGGCGAGATATGGGGGTAAATACCTTTAATTTCACTACAAAAGAGGCTAGTGCAGGAGGATCACATTTTGGGACCTTCCTGGGCTCTCTTCAAAGCCAAAAAAAAAAAAAAAAAAAAAAAAGAGCTGCAGTTGACCTGAATGGGCTCCTAGGTGAGGGGAGACTGAGCTGAGTGTCTGCTAACATGATGCTGTCGTCCTTAGTGAAAATGAAGAAGTAAACTGTTAAAGTTTTTGTGACGTGGTTTTGCTTTGGTCAGCCTGTTTTAAATGGGTAGTGCATGCACTTGCAGGTCTGTCTGTGGAGTCTGGTGTGAGGATTTTCTCCACTTACATGATTCTTTCCCTCCACATATAGTTTAAAGTTTACTCTGGAAAGATAAATTATATTGACTTTAAGTAATTTAGAGTTTTTTCCTTAGGCTTTGCTTGTTTCGTTTTGCTCCCCCCCCCCAAACCTTTATGGGAAGTAATGGTAATTTTTTTTTTCCTTTGGTAGCTGAAAAAAAAAATCATGATATACATTTGTGATTGCTTTTTATTTAAACAGAATGCTTTTTCTGCTGTTGAGGTATTTGAAGGATTTTTTTTCTAAACCCAAATGACCTCAAGGTACTGTCTTACAGACTTCTTTTTCTGTCTGCTGCCTAGCCTAAGCAGGTCATCATGGTGAAGGCTAGCTGAATTGACTGTCTTTTTAATGGAATTTTATTTGGAAACTGAAACAGGCATCAAAAGTCCTGGGCTACTCTTTCTTCTCCCCCTCCCCCCTCTCTCATTACCGTGCTCCAGCTAACTGGGATTTAATGGTCACATGTCATCACTAACTGCTCACACTGATGGCTGTTAGATTGTGGGTGCTTTTTGAATCTTCAGAGATGAAATATTTAGCTTCTTATTTTTTATAATAATCTGGAAATTGGTCACTTGGGAAAGAAAGTAGTTCTTAGTCTTATCTTTGGGGAAAATCTGATAAGAAAGTGTTTTCTTCACTAAGAAATACACGTCCTTGCTTAGAAGTGAGTTTTTAGGCAAGAAAAACAACCCCTCTTGGAGGCCTTGTTTATGTGACTTGTAGGCTCAGTCTTACTAGATCTTTTGGGGGGTGTTTGTTTGGGTTTTTTGAGACAGGGTTTCTCTGTATAACAGCCCTGGCTCTCCTGGAACTTGCTTTGTAGACCAGGCTGGCCTGAAACTCACAGAGATCTGCCTGCCTCTGCCTCCCAAGTGCTAGGATTAAAGGCTTGCACCGCCACAACCCAGCTATCTTTAGATATTTTCGATAAACTTTTATTATAAAATGTATTCTGTCCTAGTAACTTTTAAGAAAAAGACTGTTAGGCATTTTTTTTTTGGTTTTTTTTTGTTTGTTTGTTTTTTGAGGCATTCTTTTTCATTTCATAAATAAACTTCACACCTTGGTGAAAGTATCTTTTTCCAGTTTTTTACTTTTTTTAATCTGCAGAAATCATTCGGTGGTGATGAGGAGGTGACAGGTCTTGTATATTGCCCAACCTGGCCTTGTACCTTGTTTCATATGATCATCCTTCCTCAGTAGTTAGCACATGTCACAGGCCGTATACATTTTCATTATTCTTTTTGAAAAAAATAATAGCTTATTTCACAGTGAGCTATTCTTCCTGGTGCGGAGTATTTCTAGAAAATAAGGAAACGGTATGTCAAACCTGTTTTTGAAAAAGCCTTATTAGATATAGCCTAGGCTGGCCTCAAACTCAGCTTCCCAGGAACTGAGATTATAGGAATGTACCACCATACCCATCTTGGTCCTGTTTTTGAAAGAAACATATAGACTATTTCTTTTATAGAATAGAAGAAACTCAACACCCCATGTATTTCTGTTAAATTCTGAAGAGAGGCTGTGTCTCGGAGTGGTTTTAGCATTGAGGTACTAATGCCCTTTGCTTTGCTTCTTGCAGTTAGATTTGTGTATTTGCCAACACTTATGTACCCACAAATACTAAATCTGATGTTAGTGCCCAACATAAATACGCTCCAAGTGTGTCATACCTTTTAAGCTTTTGTTTTTGTTTTTGAAGCAGAATCTCATAGTAACCCTTGCTAGCTTGAACTCCCAATCCTCCTGCCTCTGCCTCCCAAGTACTGGAGTGTGGACCACCATGCCTAGGTATATACAGTACTTTAAAATTCTTCCTTTTGCGTGTAATAGGATGTGCATAGTGTTCGCAGTAGCACAACATCCATTGTCAGATCATTCCCTACACAAGTATGAAAATTTTATTTTAATTGGTATTACCCTTGAAAGATATTTTTAACTTATTTTAAAAACCTAGAGCTAGGTAAGAGGCATTTGTTGCCACATGGTGTATGTGTGTGTACACGCGTGTGTGTGTTAAATTTACTGCTGAAAAGACAAAATGTTCTTGAGTTAGTTAGCATCTTTCTTGCTTTTTCTTTCAGATAAAGCTTCTCCAAGAAGGCTGCCCAGGAAGCGGGCACAGAAGAGATCAGTGGGATCTGATGAGTAAATGTTCTTTGTGCAACAATTCAGTCTGTGCTTCCCCTGCCCTAATGTTTTTCAGCCTGACGGGAATTAGTGCAGAGAAGCCCTATCACCATAGAAGGCAACTCCTGCTTATGTGTGGACTGAGCAGTCAGAGTCTGTGGCGATAATCTTGCTGAAAATGCACTGCATTCGTTTTTCTAAAGTAACAAATTTGGTTTTTCTTTTTTTTTTAAGCCATTAAACTGTGTGGGTGTGAGTGTCTGAGCAGTTGTCTTACCAGAATCATTGTCAAACTACCTGAAACATGCCTTTAGAATACTCAGCAAAGCGCTGTTGCTGCCTCCCTTGTGATATTTTCTGATTTTTTTACCCCAAGCTCAATTGATACTTTTCCCCAGTGTAGTTTTAGATGTTCTGCCTTTTGAGGAAATAATTTGCTTATTCAAATCAAATCTGAATTGATGGCACAAACTGGCCTTTTGCTTGCTGTCTGCTACAGCTTATATTGTAAAGGCACAGGCAGGCGTGGCTGCTGTCTGAGCAACAGAGGCATGTTGCTGGGTGTTTGCTGCTGTTTACTGTCTGCACACCTTCAGGAACTTACCTTACCCGTGGAGTCAAAGAATTTGGAATCTCTAAGCAACAAAATTGTGAAACCTGACACTTCTATTGATATTGGTATATAAATCCTAATTCCATACCTGTTTTTTTTGTTTGTTTGTTTTGTTTTTAAACAAAAAATAGTATGTTTGTGCAAACTGGGTTGTTGTGTTGTCTGTTGTTCTATGTGACTTGTGAGAGCTTTGGAGTGACCTCCTTTCCTTGCTTCTTTGCTTGTTGTTGGGTTTAAGCGGAGCTTTTTGTTCTTAAAAATTATCTTAAAAATTGTCATGGTCTACAGACCAAGGGGATCAAATTTTCAGGGCAGGGTACATTTTAGTTAATCCTAATCTACAAAAACAATTGGATAGATTTAAAATCGTTACAAGGTTTATCTTTTAACTTGATCTTTTGAGGTTTTGATTGTTGACCTACATGCTATCTTTGTTAATGTGAAAAGTTCCCAAAATTTAAGGACTTACGATTTCTGGACCAAAATTAAGTTGGTTTTGATAACAATACTTTAAGTTACTCTTGCCTAAACTAGTGAATTAAGTTTGACATTATTGTCAGACTTAATAGAAATTAACATTGAGTGTGATTGGGTAAGAGACTTGGCTCTGTGTTTTAGCCATATTCTCCCTGGTGTATTACAAGGAAGTAGTAATTTCAGTAGGTTCTTTTATTCCTGACTTCTTCTCATTTTTATTGGAAGGTCCAATCCCTTCCCCACACACCTACAGGAAAACAACAAAACAAAACATAGACAGAAAACAGAACTTCCAAGCTGTGTAAGATGTAAGCCAAAGCCAATAATGACAGAAGATCTTCTGTAATTGTTAATCACGTTGCAAAAGGGGCTGAAATGTCAAATTGCCTATGTTTGCATTGTTGAACTGTAAACTTTCTATGCTTGTAATATGATGTGTGCGGGTTTTTAATTGAGCTGTATAATCAGTTTATTTTGAAAAGGTGCTTTGAGGCCTGAGGAACTGTATGGTTTTTAACTTGATGTAATATAGGAGACGCTTCTCATTCTCAAGCATTTCCCAGAATCTTCTGTGAATATCTGCGTTTGTTAAGCTACTGTAACATACTACAGTAAGATATACATAATTAAAACCTTTAAATGGCCCATAGAGTTTGACTAAACACCTGGGTAAAAACATGGGTAGTTGCAGAAACCACTCTTATAGCTGCCATGTTCTCATCCCTGAGTAATTGCCTTATACACCAGCTCTTTGTTTCTGAGGCCCAGATTAGAGCCTCAGGAGTGTAGAATGTATTACTTTTTAGTGGAGACTGGGAACAGCTGAAACTCAAGTCTTCAAATGCCAGGCGCCTACTATAGCATCAGTAAGTATTTAGCTGAAACTAACTCCATAATGAATGGAATTCAATTCCACACATGGTTTGTTCAAGCACACTTAATAAGTAGTCTACTTTTAAATGTCTTTTTAAAATGTAAATACTTGGATGAAACGCTTTTTCTTTTTTGTTTCAATATAGTCATTTGCATCATCAGCCTTAGTTCCAGAATTTATCTTGTTTGAACAAGTGGGTTTCAGAATCTGTTAAATGAATTTAAGGATCATGTGTATCAAACCTGTGACCCAGACCTTTGAGAATAATGTGTCATAAAGCATAGATCCCACTCTGGTTGTATAGCTTCATCATTTGAATCATGTTTTGTAGTAAGGGACTTGGGACAGATAAACTGTCCCCTGGAATGATGCCTGAGGAGTTTTAGGAGCAGTGAGACTTTGTAAAAGCCTAAGGGGAAAGAACCAGGTAGAATTGAGAGTAGCAGTGACAACAGAAAATCCGACTTTGGTAGGTGGAATAACTTCAGCCTAGAACTGTTAGAGAGAGAGGCAAGTGATACAATATTGGGACAGTATTGCTAAGATTTGGGAGGTACAGTAGATGACATTTCATGCAAGGACATCCTGCATTCATCTCTTGTAGGGCAAAGGTGTTCATACTCTTGGGATAAAGGAAAATGTGCTTGGTAGTGCATTTGAGTCATGAATTTTCTTTGTTTTTAGATGGGGTCTTACAGCCTTGCTCAGGATGGTCTTGAATTCCTACAGTATGGTGTGAAATACTCAAATTTAGCTCAGAACAATATATATACTCTCATCAAGAGGTTGATAGGCTAGACCCTTGGTTTTTCTTTGAGTTTCAAAATTGTATGTTAGCTTAAATTAAGACTATTTCTAGATGCAGTCGAAGCACTTAACAGTGTGGGCAGCATTTATTCCATAGAGCTAGTCCATATACTTGATCTGTATTTCTTAGTCCTCCCTTACTCAGCTAGTGAAGAGCACCTAACACCATGTTTCCTGGTAGCAGCGAATGTGTGATGTTGGGTTTCATGGTTATTCTCATATGTGTTCCAGAAAAAAACACCTGTGCAGAGCACTTCCTAAAAGGAGAGAATAGGGCTTAGCAATTATTGCAGATAGCTAAGCAATAGTTGATTCCAGGTATTAATTTTGTTGATATTTACATGGTTTTATTACTTTTTCATTTACGTAAAACCGAGACTTGTGGTTCTCTCTGAAGTTCTGGGGGTCTTTTCTAGATGGTGGAATTGTGTGGGGGCTACACACTAATGCTGGTCCCCTGTGGTTGCCTTTGTAAGGGAGTGGGAAGGGAAGGAAGCTTGTCTGGTGAACGTTGTTCTCAGGTAGTATGTGGGGAAAAGTCACTGAATTTAAGTGAGTTGGAGGCTTCAGAGATACCTGTTTTGAAAACCTCTGTGTTCTTTCCCTGTACTCCAGGCAGCATGGAAATTTTATAAAACCAAGCATCTGGGCAGCTTGCAAATACTCATTTTCCAGAATCCAGCAGCTAGAAAGTGGAGATGGCTTTTGGTACTGGATGTCCAGGATGTCTTATACCATGTACACATTGAACACACTTGCCACTTAGCTCACAGGCACTGCAGAAATGCATCTTTACACTTTGCTTGTGGTATGTGTGTATAAAATTACTTGAACTGAGCCGGGCGGTGGTGGCGCACGCCTTTAATCCCAGCACTCGGGAGGCAGAGGCAGGCGGATTTCTGTGAGTTCGAGGCCAGCCTGGTCTACAAGAGCTAGTTCCAGGACAGGAACCAAAAGCTACAGAGAAACCCTGTCTCGAAAAATCAAAAAAAAAAAAAAAAAAAAATTACTTGAACTGATTACATAATTTTTATAATTTAGTTAACCACAATACCCTAACATTTAGTCTTCATTAAATAATATAGTTTATATGTCTCCCTAGTAAAGAGTTTATATTCTTTAAAAAATGTCTTCTGACAGTGTGTGGTGGTGCACATCTGTAATCCCAGCACTGGGGAGGCAGAAGTAGAAAGATCATGACAAAGTCCAGCATGGCCACATAGCAAGTCCCTGTTTCAAAAAAATGAAAGCAGTTTGGATTTTTTTAGCTGAACTATCCATATTCGTGTTAGAGATGTAATAGGTGTTTGTAGTACACAGGCAGGTGGGGACAGGTCTAGGGTTACAAGACCTCTCATCTAGTTTCTGTTCAGTTTGGATTTTCTTTAGGCACAGTAAGACATTGTTAAGAAAATCCAGTGTACCTGGAAAACCCAAAGGTTAGGTCTTTAGTCTTCAAGGCACAGAGATGTAATTTGTGCCTGTGTTGTTCTTTTCTTTCCTTTATACAGACTACTGTGTGTGCCTGTAATAGTTGTCCTCCTGTTGTCACATCTCCCTCTGCTAGACTGTGAGACCCAGAACTTGTGTATTGACAGTCTCTAGCTCAGTTAGGTGGAGGGAGACCTGTTACTGCCTAAAGAAGCATCAAGGGCAAAGGCCAGTGGCTCTCTGTGTTTGAGGTTAGCCTAATCTACTTAGTGAGTTCTAGGCCAATCAGAACTACATAGTGAGACAATGTCTCAAGAGAAAAGGCAACACAGACTGGGAACATAGCTAAGTTGACAATGGCGTGGCGGGCATGAAGACTTGGGTTTGAGCTCCTGAATCCATATGAATCCATATGAAAATGCTGTCTCAAGGGTGGAGGACAGCATTCCTAAGGATGATACCCAAGGTTGTCCTGTGCAGTCTGAAGGCATTTTAGACAAGAGGATGGGAAATACTGAAGAATGGTGTTCATAGTTTAGTGCTTGGCTCATGTGCACAAGACCTGAGTTCAGTTCCTAGTGCCAATAAATAAAAGTGTTCAAGTCAGATTTATCGAGTCCTTGCTTCATGTTCATTCAGTCATCAGGCATGCGACATAGCCTCTGGGAGTCTGGGACCCCTTCTTCTGTGTTCAGTTGCTGCCTAGCACTCAACTGGAGGTGTGAGGAATCCCTTGATGAGTGTGTGTTCACTGTGCACACAGTAGGCTCCCCTGTATCTTAGTGACAACCCTCAGGACTGTATGAACCTTAACGGTTCTGGAGGACTTTCTGTAGTAGACTGTTCTCAGTCCCTAGATGGACTCTTCCTTTCACACCACCCTCTCCATCTCTGACTGCCTGCTTCGTGAAAGCTTCATCCTGAGCCCTGCAGCTCCTCCTGCTTCCACTGTGTCTGCTTTTTCTCCTTTGTCAGAATGCCCCCTGTGCTGTTTCCTTGCTTTCCCTTCACTGGGCTTACAGCATTTCAATTTTCTTCTGACTTATCCCTGCCCTGGCGAAGCCTGCTCTTCTAGGGTCTCGTGGCAGTTGCGTGGCCAGAGCCATCTCCATTCAGTTCCCTGGTCTCCATTAGCTTTAAGTCCACTTCCCCGTCCAGTGCTGTGCTGCTGGCTGATAGTTAACTTCAGCACGCGATCATCTCTCACCACCACTGTTTCATGTTGGTGGGTTTTCAGTCCTGGGTTCTTCGCTCTAAATTGTTTACTTTAGGGGCATTCTAACTGCCTGTGGCCTGTTAGTCTCTTTCCCCAGGCCAATAACATGTTCTATGGCTCTCTGCAGCTCTTGGGTCACTTTTGAGCAGAGCGGCTCCCCTTTTGTCTAGCCTTAATTAACGAATGACAGCTAACCCTAGCTCTGCTGCGAATGAACATTAGATTTCTGTTCTCTCTGCTTCTGCGATACCTCTGATTCAAATCACTTCTCTATTTCCTGATTCCCTTCAGGAGACTTGGAGGTGCTATTCTAACTTAACGCTTCCCCGCTTGTGGTTTCCCGCAGTGTGCTTCAAGCAGGTTCATTTATTAGGAAGCGTTCTAGTGTGTTCTCCATGGTGATGTGTCTGAAGGTATTCTTGGGTGTCTTTTGTGTCAGTTCAGTGAAAATGGGAGTAATGAACCAGTAATTCTCGTGCAACTTCGATACGCATTCCACATGAGTATCAAGATTACTGTGCTAAGTCCGGTGAGCCCAGGACGTAAAGGTGCTACCTCTGGAACTGCTTTGCTTCTGTTTCCAAGGCATGCCCATCATTACTGCTGACCGGGAGAGCCTCGCCGTAATATCTTGAGAGATGAGAGGCACAAAGATACCTAAAGTACCAAACAATAGGCTAGGTATGATGGCACATGCCTTTAACCTCAGCACTTAGGAGGTAGCGGTAGGTGGATCTCTCATAAGCTCTGGACCAGCCTGGTCTATGTAGTGAGATCCTGTCTAAAAATAAATTACAAACTTGATCATTATTTTTCTCAGAATTATGTTTTTAAAAGTTAGTGCATTCTCTACATACAAGAATGTTGCCATTCCAGACAACAAAGTAGTGTCAAGTCAAGCGGACTAACAATTTTATACCTAGCTTGATGATGTAGGCTTTTAATCCCAGCTATTCGGGTGGCTGAGGCAGGAGGATTTGTGACTTCTAGGCCTGCTTGGGCTGTAAGGTGAATTTCAAGACCAGCCAGCACAACTTAATGAGATCCTGTCTGGAAAGAGCTGGGGATGGAGCTCAGTGGTGGCGAGCTTGTTTAGGGTGTGTGAGGCCCTGGGTCCATCCTCTGCACTGCACATGCTCACATGTACACATGTGCACACACACACACACACACACACACACTTCACATGTGCTGCTGGGCTGTTGACTTTGCAGATCATGGCCATAAAAGATTCGTGAGGGTTCCAAGACCTACCCTCCTCCCGTTCTCACTGATACTAAGAGTGGGCTTCCAATAATCACACATCACAGAGCAAC